GGGGGAGAGAGACACATAATAAACAAGAAAACAAATATATGATCTATCTGGTGGTAATAAGTTCTATGGAGAAACTAGAACAGAGTAAGGGGATAGAGAGTGTGGATGTTTTTAGGGGGTGGGAGGAGTGTTCAGGGGCTAGATTCCTGCTCACATGACTTCTTCAGTCTACTCACAAGAGCCATGAGGTAGTAAGGAGAAAAGAGAGCATGGTGAGTCCTTAAGAAAAATTATTCTGACACTTGTTAAAAATGGTAAGGCAGACTTTATTTAGGGGGACTACTACATTGGGGTATTGTAATAGGGAAGAAAGATTGAACCCAATTCTGAATACAAGCAAAAGTGAGAATTTATAGCCAAGGAGCAGGGTGAGAGTCAGTGGATGGAAAATTACTAAGAAGAAACATCAGGGGTAAGGGAGAGTGTCGCTAAACTGATTTGATGGGATTTTTGCTGGAGGCAGGCCAGGGTGGGGGATAAGGAATTTGGTCAGATATCAAAGGTGAGGAATTTTCACTGAACTGACCCAGCAGGATTCTTGCTAAAACTGGACTAAACAGAGCCCAAGGTCAGTGGCCTAGTCAGAAAGAGGACTCAGAGGAGCCTGACTCAAGTTTGGTCAAAGGAGTCTTTGTCATGAGTATTAGATTCTGGGTACATATGTATTTGTTTTATGGTTTGTTATACTCTTTGGTATAATAAACCTTGGTACTGCTGAAAGGGAGCCCTGGGCGGGGCACAGAATACCCAGCTCTCCTGAATGGCATTCAGTCTTCATTCTGAAGTCTTGATATGCCAACCCCCTGAACGCTACATCCTCTCTCAGAACCCGAGGTTCTGTCTCCCCTCTTGGATACAATGCTTGAGGTTTTCTTTCCTTTACAGTGTCCGTCTTCTGGCCTATAAATGGGGTTCCTGCTGATACTGGTGAGGAGGGAGGGCAAGTCCTAGGAACTGCAGTACTGGGACCTTGCTATGCATTTGATCTAGGGCATTCTTTATTCCTTTTGGCTAATGTCACTCTTTATACCTTGTGACCCTGATCGTTTTCTCTGACAGGATTCTCTATAAGCTTTGATTCTTTCACAAAGATTAACACCCTAAGAGTACCCCTACCTGCTGTGGCCCTAGAAATCCATTCCTCCTACCATATTAGCCGTACAACATAATTGGTAAATGGCCTAGGAATGATCTGACCTCTATGATTGGGGTATAGGGGGCTCAGAACTCTTGGCTTTCAGCCTTCTGGGCTTGTTTCACACAAAGTGAGAGGCTGCTTGATATATGTACAGAGAGTCCTGGCCTGTTCCCAGAGGTCCCCCAGTTGCTTCCTCCAAGCCAAGATTTGGGTCAGAAGCAATTTTACAGGGAATACTCATGTTACTAATAACATTTATTTGATAAGTCAGAGAGAGGGATAAAAGAATCATCCATTTCAGAAAACTGATGGTTTTTTTTCTCTTGACTTTTTTTGGTAGGCTGATGCTGATGCGGTGTGATTTAACGGGTCTACTCCCTGCCGCAGTTCTCAGCTTTCTATCATTGAAGCTTTATACCTTTTGATTAACTCATTTTGTTTTGATATGTTCCGTTTTCAAACGCAGATATCCCTTAAAAGGGCTGCCTTATTTTTTCTAGATTTAAGCATTCCTTAGGAAAAGATCACAGAAAGAGATGGTCATTTTTGAGAGTGTATGTATGAAATCTCCAGAATCTGGAGATTTCATACATACAGGATAGGGCAGAGTGACGGCACTGGATACCAGGAAGGAGACTAGAGGGCTGAGTTTGAGCTGGGTAGACCTCAAGGCCTCCTTGTCCCATCCTAGCTCAAATATTATATCTTCTCTATGGCCTTCCCTGTCCTGGTTTTGCTGGGCCTCTCACTGCCTTCCCATTCCCTACTCCTGGAATTAAATGCTCACTTTTTATTACAACTTCTGTTATAATATGTATCACTTTATTTTGTGATTGTCTGTATGCCTATCTCCCTCTTCAAACCTTAATATGTAGAAGGAACTCTGTCTTATATCCCTGGCACATAGCTTAGTGCCTGGCACGTAGGTTGAATTGATTTCGAGATCAAATTGTCCTTGTCACATTTTGGCCTCTTATTTCATTCCTGTGGACAGTAGTAGCAAAGAGAGCCTGGGGAAGGAGGTGGCCTTGAATTGGGCCTCCTGGCTCTAAGGGTTGCCCTTTTAGCCCATTATAGGTTCTGAGCAAAGTGACTGGTTGATCATCTGGGCATCACATTGAGCTCTGTCTGCTGCTTCAAAACCTAAATATCTGGATGTCTGAATGGGTTTGGTACCTTTAGCGAACCCATATCTCCAGGAGGTGATTCTTAAGTTCAGCATTCATCCAGGGGCAGTGGCTAGCAATTCAGAAGAAGGTTTGGAAGGTTTTGTTTGTTGTATAATATGGAAGCAAGCATCTTTGTTTGGGGCTAGGAGAAGTTTCTATGGCCGCTGTAGTTGGAAATTTCCTATTTGTCAGTAACGTAGGAAACCAGGCAGTTCTGCCTTCAGTCCTTCAGGAGGCCATGTGAAAGGGCTCTGAACACAGCAGCTGTGCCATTTGCCCCAGTGTGGCTGGCCAGCAGAGTTGTAGGCACTGCACTCTGGGAGGGGACACCTGGCAAGACTGTCCAGGAAATTAGGCCAAGCCTATCTGGAGTATTGATCTGAGGGGCAGAAGCAGATAGGCCAGAAGTTAATCTGGCCTGTACTGAAGCAATAGCAGGAGCTTCATTTTTTTCCCTGAAAAATGGGCTTATCTGGACCAAAGTGGGGCTGGCCTTGGAGAACCTGGCAATGAGTTCTGGGCCTCACCAGCATTAGAAAGGAAAAGCTTGCCTCCTGTAGCTATTTGCTCTTTCCTCATGCTTTCAGGCTGCCTGAGGGAGGATGGCAAGCCTCCTATCACCTGAATGAACTGTTGGGGACTGAATGTTTTGCTCTTCCCTTTTCTTACCTTAAAAAGAAAACAGGACCAATAAAGAACGACACCCTAATGATGGGATTCCAGGTACTGCTGCAGACCATTAGAAGAGACTGGGAAAGGCAGGGATCTAGGGCTAGAACAGAAATCATGGTTCACTCAAATCATACCATGTAGGTGGTTGCGTGCTTGGCTTGGATATTGGTTTCTTTGTCTCAGGGACTTGCCATGTCAGTAATAACAACAATACTGTGATGCTTTACAATTTACTAATTACAAGTCTCTCATTTTAGCTTTATAACATTCCTGTGACTGTCTTCCCCACTTTACAGATGAGGAAACTAAGGCACAGAAAGGTCAACTGTTTAATCCAAGGTCACTGGAAAAGCAAGACCCAAACTTAAGTCTCCTGATTCTCAGTCTAATAGCACTTGCTCCTGGCTTCATGTGGTCATACACAGAGCTTCTATCTTGGTTTAGTAAGTAATGTTTCCCCTTTAAGACAAACTTGAAAGGCTGATTGCCAGCTCCAGTCCTTGTTGGGCCAGGAACATTGTTTAAAGCTAGTACTAGGTGGCAAGACCAAATCAGGGGCATCTAGACATTGCACAGTTGTGGAGAAAAGAGAGGGGTGGCTTTGTAAGTATAGATTTTGTAGTTGTGGGAGGAGAGAAGGAAGAATTTGATGAGTCCTAGAATTGGGGGCTTTGCTTCCTGGGTAGCTGGGCACTAAGCTTAAGACCCAGGAGTTCTGGTGGTGTACATAGAGCATCCTCTGTCCCTCTCACACAGACTAGACTGGGTTGGCCAAATTAGGGGTATGGCTGATCCCAGCCCCTTGAGACACTGGAGTAAAGCAATAATGCTTAAAAAGTAGTAATTGGGCCTCTCCAGTGCCTCACATGATGGGTAGCGTTCTTAGATGAGGAATTTCTTGACTACTTAAGAAGTTTTTAGATGAGCTAGAAAGAAGAAGGGAAGAAATGAAATGGGAATTAATCTAGTTTCTGTCTCTTGGTTCTTGGCCTGGTTATTTCCAGTAAAAGGGGTCAGTTTCATCTTTATCCCAAGTCTTGTGACTCATCCCTTCTGGTTCTTCTTGGTCTGGGGAAGCACAGTGCTTTGGCTTTCAGGCCCACAGATTGTAGATGTTGGCCTTTCCTGAAAATGAATTGCCGTGGGTGTTGTCTAGTGGTGTTCTTCACAGGCAGTTTTCCCCTTTTAGGGTTAACTTAAGCCCTGGGAAAGGAAAGGAGGCAGAGGTTTAGAAGATTTAGAAATAGATCAAATCTGGAAAATGGGGAAACTATCTCTAGTTGAAGAACGTGAAGGGTAGCATGTCTACCACCAGCCCATTCCCCCCGTCCCACCCCCACCAGGGTGACCCAGCAGAGCCAGAGAGTATCGGCAGTCCCACGCATTCTTTGGCTCTCTGATTTTCCCTTTCTCCTTTCTATTCTGCTCCTTGCCTACATTCTGAACGTTCCCAGTAAAAAGAGAATGGATGCCCACCCCACATAAGGTAATAGTCGTCTCTACTTCTGTAGTACAGTCACCAGTAGCTTAGGACGTAGGGGCAAGACTGGTGGCAGGTCTGTCTTCACCTTTTTGGGGAACAGCAAAGAACCCCAGAGCCCTCTGTGAAGTAACCAGCTCCCCATATGTCCCTTTCATCGTTCTCTCCAGGCCCGTCAGAGGGCAGCTAGAGCAGCCCTCTGTTACTACAACAGTAGACAGTGCTGGGAAATCACTTACCCCACTGCTCTGAAGGCAGCATTAGACAGATGCTCTGTGGGCCAAGAAAGCTGAATCTGTGTATTGATTAGGCTACACCAAGCTCTTAGGGACTATTAAATGGAGTCCAAGTCTCCAGGCTGCGTCTGACCTTCTTCGTCCCCAGCTGTGAGCCCATCATATGTGTGCCTTTGACCACCTGCCCCTCTAGATCCAAATATGTTAAATGCCACCTGAGTCTGGTCAGTGACTATGCCCATACTGTGCCACCTTATTCTAGAATTAGGTGTAGAAAACATTTTTTGTTCCCCAAGTTTAAAACACTTGCCATGGTCCTGTCTCCACGTGAAGAGTTGCTATCACTAAACAAGAGAAAACAGTTTGTGCTACAAGCACAGGCAGGAGCGAAACCTTTGAGTAACTTAGTCCTCACCAGAACAACAAATTGGGGGAGAAAAAGAAAGAAACATTCCATGTCTTGTCTTTCACTGTGTACGTGATTTGAGCTTTGGTGGTTAAGTATCTGTTTGTTCGTCCCTGAACCAGACACTGACCTCACCCCCACCTGCTTCCCAGGAGTTTGTCTCAATCCTGTTGCTTTTAGGTACTTTCCCAGAACACAAGGACTTGATTTGATTTTACGTCAATACTCTGATGGGAAGCCAAGGAGAGAGAACTGACTGCCTATAGCCTTTAAGGCTAGCGTTGGGAGGCAGGTCAGGATTGACTCCTACAGTCTTAGAAGGTAATGTTCTTATTCCTGCTTGACAGCTTGATTCAGATTAAAAGTATCGTGCTGCTTTCTGACTTGAGTGCACTGTTTTCCTTTTTTTACTAGCTGCAAGATAAGAGTCAAGCCAGGATCCAGGGGCATGTGCCAGGTTTGGAGACCACACCTGGGACCATTCCAGGCAGCACTGTGGGTTAAGCCCAAGGCATCAGCCAGCAACAATTGCTAGAAATAGACTGAAAAGAGCAGGACGGGGTATTGCCTTCTAGGACAATCTCTATTAACTATCCTGACCAGAAATAAGAGGAAGAAGCAGAAAATCCCTCAGACCCCGAGGAAGAAAATGAAGCGATTGTTGCAAGAGTCAGAGGAAGAAATCATGGTCACCATGGGACCCTCCTCCAAGCTTTCCCCAGATAAAGCTAAGGTCGAGACTATGTGTGGCATCAAGAGCAAGTCCTCAGGCCCTGCTGGATCCTCACCAGAGGACAGTTCCCTGACCCCTCGCTGTGGGTCAGTAGCCTCAGCCACTGGTGGGGATAGAAATGGAGGCCAGGCCCAACGTTGCAGCTTTGGGCAGCAGGCCAGCAGCCAGCTGCTTCTGGGCTCCACTGCCTGTGTTTCAGGCTCTGGCTCTCAGGACCTCTCATCTGCTAGCATTACCACAAGCTGTCAAGAGCCCTCAGAGAGGAATCAAGCCAAGCCCCTTTTGTCCAGAGGCCTTGGCCAAGGCTGCAGCCCTGAACAGCGAGAACCTTTGGGGGATGTAGTAGACTATATTATCAGAGAGCTGCAAGGCATCAGCCATCTGCAAACTGAGATTGCTGAGCTGCAGCAGCACTTAAGCCAAGTCTGGGGTTCAGTGGATGAAGTCTCGAGCTGTGTAGACTTGGTTCTAAGTGAGATAGAAGGCTTGCAGGTGGCCAGCAGCTCCCTGGCCAAGGTGTGTGTGGGTGGAAAGGCCCAGGAACCCCATGTGGACCGACCCAGTGAGGAAGCCATTCTGTATATGTATGGACTTCCTGAACAAGATGGGGAGAATACCATGGAGCTGGTGCACAGCTTCCTGGCCAAGCATCTCTGTGTTAATGGCATGCATTGCAACAGGTACATCAGAGAGGCTTACAGGGCAGGCAGAGCCCCAGCCCCCAGGCCTGCTGTTGTGAAGCTTGCCCATCTAGAGCACAGAGACTTCATCTTGCAGAAATCCATCCTCTTGCAGAATGTAGGGGTCTGGATTGCCACCAGAGAAGAACCAAGCTGGCCACAGTGCTATGAGAATCCCCAAAAAGAGTCTCTATCATTTTTGCAACAACTTCAGGATCGTAATTCAAATTCTTTAAACTTGGATGAACCAGTTCTTCAGATGGAAACAGGAGTCAGAGGACCCATAACAGGAGCATATCAAATGAGGGCTCAGAATCAACATAGAGAACCCCAGACCCCTGAACAGCAAGGCCTTTGCTTCCCACCCAAGAACAATTTAGCAAAGCCAAGTGATGTGTCTAAGCCAGGGGACGAAGTAAAAGGAACATCAGGAACATCCCAAGTCATCAGTCGTGGCTGTGGTGAGCTGACAGGGAGAGAGGCGTCTCTGTCTACCCTCCATCAATTTGAGGAGCCTTCCCTAGTGTTAATCACAAAAGAGGAGGATTCTGGGAAATCCCAGGTTTTCAAACAATACAGCCAAGGACTTGAAGCATGTGAGGTAACAGAAAGAGAACACTGCAGCGATAAGAATGAGGCCAGCAGCTGCCTGTCACTGTGTGGGTTGCTGAACACAGAGGACAAGCTCCTGGCCTGTGAAGCTGGGCTTGATGTTCTGAGCTCAAAGCAGTTAGAGGACCTTTTGATAGATAAGTCCAGGAGGTTTGCAACTCTGAGCTGTGACAGCATGATGGAGGAAATTATCATAGGGCCCAAGACTTTCAGTGACATGGTTCATATTGACTTGAATGAAGAGGAGGAATGTGCTTCTCAGGTCCTTAAAGATGTCTTTGAAAAGTCTTCTTGTGGTCTGAGTGGCTCACAGGAGGATGAAGATGTAGAAATTAAATTTTACATGAGTAAACTGGGCCGAGCAGTTCACCACTTTCGTTCAGCTCTGCAGGGAGTATTTCAGAAGATGGAGAACAGTGGGTCCATCAGTCCTGAGGACCTGGAAAGCAATGAGAGTGGATCCCAGTCAGAGATCAGCGATAGACTTCTTGGGACAGTGAGTTCAGGGCGTGCCCAGGATTTCTCAGTGGATAGCCCTGAAAGTCAGGGGAGTGAGAGCTTGCTCAGTGTGGTCTCTGGTGGAATGGGCATCTCTACACAGGGAGACCAAACCTCTCAGTATCCCAACAACTTCTCTCTGGCTTGTAATAACCTGCCTCTTGCATATTCTTTGCCAGATGTTGCTCTGGCTCCGTGTCTGGGAAGTGAAACTTGTTCCGGGCCTGAATCTCCCAAGCAGGTCAGACTAAGCCTAGAGCAAGTGTGTGCAGAGACCATCTACCTCAACAAGTGCACCTACAATTTTAAAAATATTCTAAGAGAGAAAAGACTGAGGCAGAAAAAACTTTTGCACGAGCTAGTACAGAAGGCAAACCATCTCTCAGTAGAAGACATGCACCCAGGTATTCTGAGACTCTATTTAATGGGGTCACAGCTGACTGGGTATGGCCTCCATTAGGCCAGCATGAGGCCCAGCTTGGTGGTGAGTTTCACAAGGTGATGGGGGAGGTCCATGGCTTGAAGTAGTCTAAGTTACTTGCATACAGTCATGTGTCACTTAACAACAGGGACACGTTCTCAGAAATGCGTTGTTAGGCACTTTCGTTGTCGTGCAAACATCACAGAGTGTACTTACACAAACCTAGATGGTATAGCCTACTACACATCTAGGCTAGATGGTACTAATCTTATGGGACCACTGTCATGTATGTGATCCATCTTTGACTGAAACATCATTATGTGGTGCATGACTGTATAGATTTTAAGCTAATCCTGTGGGAATTGAAGTGAAAGACGATTCTAAAGCAACAGAAAAGGAGTTTCTGTCCCTAGGGAGCTTCCAACCTATTGGAGGGAGCTTTAGGAAGTACCTTTTCAAAAGAGGGAGGAACGTCTGGGCAGAAGTAATTTACAGCTGCAGGACTTCTAGGATATTCCAACGTAAAGTAGGTGTGGGGTAGGAGGCAGGAATGGAGGATGAGGCATATTGCTCACAGACAGTAGAGGGCTTGATGCAATCCTATGTTGCATTTTAAAATTATTCTTGATGGGATTATGCTGAGATAAGATTGCCATTTCCCCAGCAGCTGGTGGGGCTTCTCCACCTCATAGGCCACTGTGGGAATTTCCCTTATCCCAACCTATCTTTTTTTTTTTTTTTAATTGTGGTAACATAGGTTTGTAACATTGTATAAATTTCAGGTGTACATCATTATACTTCTATTTCTGCATAGATTACATCGTGTTCACCACCCAAAGACTAGTTATCATCCATCACCACACACATGTGCCTAATCATCCCTTTCTCCCTCCTCCCTCCCCCCTTCCCCTCTGGTAACCACCAATCCAATCTCTATCTCTATGTGTTTGTTTGTTGTTGTTTTTATCTTCTACTTATGACCAAGGACATACAGTATTTGACCTTCTTCCTCTGACTTATTTCACTTTGCATAATACCCTCAATGTCTATCCATGTTGTCACAAATGGCTGGATTTCATCATTTCTTATGGCTGAGTAGTATTCCATTGTGTATGTATACCATATCTTCTTCATCCATTCGTCCCTTGATGGGCACTTAGGTTGCTTCCAAGACTTGGCTATTGTGAATAATGCTGCAGTGAACACAGGGGTGCATGTATCTTTAGGCACTGGTGTTTTCACGTTCTTTGGATAAATACCCAGCAGTGGAATAGCTGGATCATATGGTAGTTCTATCCTTAATTTTTTGAGAAATTTCCATACTGTTTTCCATAGTGGCTGCACCAGTTTGCACTCCCACCAGCAGTGTATGAGAGTTCCCTTCTCTCCACATCCTCTCCAACACTTGTTGTTTCCAGTCTTGTTAATTATACCCATTCTGACAGATGTGAGGTGATATCTCATTGTAGTTTTGATTTGCATTTCCCTGATAGTTAATGATGTTAAACATCTTTTCAGGTGCCTGCTGGCCATCTGTATATCTTCTTTGGAGAAATGTCTGTTCAGGTCTTTTGCCCGTTTTTAAATTGGTTTGTTAGTTTTTGTGTTGTTGAGATGTATGAGTTCTTTATATGATTTTGGAGATTAAGCCCTTATCAGGTTTGCAAATATCTTTTCCCAATTGTTATGTTTTTTCATTTTGTTGATGGTTTCCTTTGCTGTGCAGAAGCTTTTTAGTTTGATGTAGTCCCATTTGTTTATTTTTTCTATTGTTTCTCTTG